ATTATGATGAATATTACACTTATTCAATGACTAAAATACCATGCAATATATTTAATTTAGATTTCACTCCATTTGTTTATTATGTTATGTGTATATCACCTAATACACCACCATTAGGAGTAATTTCCTTTTGGTATGTGATAGGATTCTATCCATTGCTCCTCCTCCTCTTACTCTATGTTTGGATAACATTGTATGATAAAGGTTACAAGTGTGTAGTATTTATTACTAGACCATTTCATCGTTGCATGGCTCGTTTCTGGAGTATGACTGGCATTGAACCATCTTTTACTCACTCTATAGCATCAATATATATACTCTGCTTCACTCAATTAGCTGCCACTTCTTTTAAAATACTGAGTATTAATCTAAACAGTGTCTCTACCCTCAAATTCTATTATGATATGAAGCAGGATTACTTTGATGTCAAACATGGTGCTGTTGGTTTCTTTGCAATCTTAGTGTTATTGTTTCTGATTGTTCTACCAACACTTTATATACTCCTTTATCCATTTAAATGGTTTCATAAGTTATTGGATTGTTTACATTTGAGGAAACAGCTACTGATATCACTGGGTGATGTGTTTACTGGTCCTTACAAGAATGGAACTGAGAATACTTATGATTATCGTTTCATGGCTGGACTATACCTACTCATGAGAATAATCACTACAAGTCAATTTGTTTATGGACATTATTACATATTTTCAATGCCAATTTCTCAAACTTGCTGCTCCTTCTTACTAGCAGTAACAGTTATCATTTTTCGTCCTTTTCAAAGAAATATTCATAATTTTGGTGAATTTTTAATTTTGTTTATAAGCATGACACTTGGATTTACAATCATTTTTGTTCCGGCTTATTTTGATGAGGAATGGTTTTATTTTGTCTTACCAGTCATCAATGTCCTAATTTTTGTCATTACTATACCAGGTTATATAATCTACCAGGTATACAAAATGATAAAATCATGTTGTCGTTATCATAAAAGAAATAATCCAGTGGCTAACAGAAATCAAGAAGAAGACCATCAGCCATTAGTTGGTAATGATGATGATTGGATTGCTGATCGTATGGAGAATCCACAAGAATATGATGAACAACATGTTCCTGGTAGAATATATGAGTATGATAGACAGCCACAGCAACAAAAACCCAATGAACCCATTACTATTGCTACAGCTGCTACTTATGGCAGCTGTGGTGAAACTACTATGTGATTTATGTTAACTGCTGAATATTGTGCTGATAATAATAGAATAGGCTAATTATGAAATTAATCTTTAAAGCTATTTTTAGAATTTTTTGTGTAATTTTTTTGCTAGATTTGCTATTCCAATTGTGATTAATTTTCAATTACAGGAATATGTGACAATTAAGTTTGATCTGATCTACTTCCTTATAAAGTTGCATGTCTCACTGTGTGCATGTACATGTGGTCAAAAAAATTTTTTAAATGGTCATAACTTTAAAAATTTAAGTCAGAATCTGCTCAAACTTTCTACATAGCTTAAGCACATCAATATGTATCAGAAAATGTAGTAAAATTTGGGTAATTTTTAAGCTATTGTTTTTGGAAAAAAAGTATGTGC